TTTAATAATAATGACTCTACTACTTGTTTGCAACAACAAACTACTGGGTAACCTGTATTCCATAATGTGAGGAAAGAATTGCTTGTCAGGAGTGGTCTTTTCAGTCTCACCTGAAGACACTGATAGAATTTCATCGTCTATCACTGTAAAATGCAATGATGTAGGCCAGGGAGAGTAGGGGAAGACAATTATTTAATTATTCCCAAAGGGTAGAGGCTATTTGCTTTTAGGGATGGTTATTTTTTTGGTCCTTAATTGGACAATAAACAACAGAAAAAAAAGGTAATCAATAGACTGCTATGCTTACAGGCTAAGCTGCTGAATATATGGATCCAAATCAAGGTCTTATGTTGTTTTGCCTTTACTAGGTAATTAGAATGTTTCACGCTTACAGACAAAATACACTTAGAAGACATGTTGGTTGATCAAAACAGCCAAAGAAATGAATAATTATTTCTTTATACTGTTCCTAAATACATAAAAGCAGGGTTCTGTGGTATCAGGAGGATCTACTTATCAGATGCTACAGAGATCAATACTCGGGGGGCATGCTGGCGGAGAGCCAGATGTTCACAGCTGCACATACCCCACTCATGACACAAAATATGTATACTCACCAATCTACAAAATGCTTTCATCATTGTGTTTAATAATTCCTTATCATCTCTAAAGTAAAATTAGATGACAAGTATTTGCCAAGGCACAACACAGGAGGGTGACACATGACTGTGACACTCTTTGTCTGCTGTGCACTTGGCCTCCTTTTAATTGTCTATCCTCAGAGAAGTTAGAGCTATACCAAATGCAAACAGGATGGCAAACAGAATAGAGCAAAAGATCATTTTTTCACTTTCTTTCTTTTTCTTTCTTTTTTTTTTTTTGAGACGGAGTTTCACTCTTGTTACCCAGGCTGGAGTGCAATGGCGCGATCTCGACTCACCGCAACCTCCAGCTCCTGGGTTCAGGCAATTCTCCTGCCTCAGCCTCCTGAGTAGCTGGGATTACAGGCACGCACCACCATGCCCAGCTAATTTTTTTGTATTTTTAGTAGAGACGGGGTTTCACCATGTTGACCGGGATGGTCTCGATCTCTTGACCTCGTGATCCACCCGCCTTGGCCTCCCAAAGTGCTGGGATTACAGGCTTGAGCCACCGTGCCAGGCCCATTTTTTCACTTTCTAAATACTGGAAGTTATTAATTTACCCATTCTGACCTGGTACTTGTTCAACTTACAAGCAGATGGTCTTCTTATAGAGTAAAATTTGAGGACCATTGTTGCCACAAAGCCCTAACTGACTTAAAATTGCTCTTTAATCTGCCTATAATCCTAGTGGTTTGGGAGGCCGAGGCAGGATTGATTGAGACCAGGAGTTAAGAGAGCTGCCTGGGCAACATGGTGAACCCCATCTCTAAAAAAAAAATTAACTGAGTATGGTGGCACATGTCTGCAGTCCTAGCTGCTCCAGAGTCGGAGGCAGGAGAATTGCTTGAATCTGGGAGTTTAGGTTACAGTGAGCTAGGACCATGCCACTGTACTCCAGCCTGGGTGACAGAGTGAGACCCCATCTCTAAATAAATAAAAAATACCTTCCCTGCAGCCTCTATGATTGCACTGTTATTTCATACTTCGTCTGAAAATGTTATAGTTATGCCTTTGCTATAGAAAACAATTTTCTGGCCGGGCACAGTGGCTCACATCTGCAATCCCAGCACTTTGGGAGGCCAAGGCAGGCAGATCACTTGAGGTCAGGAGTTTGACACCAGCCTGGCCAATATGATAAAACCCTGTCTCTACTAAAAATACTAACATTAGCTGGGCATGGTGGTGCATGTCTGTAATCCCAGTTTCTAGGAAGGCTGAGGCAGGAGAATCACTTGAACACAGGAGATGGAGGCTACTGTGAGTCAAGATCACACCACTGCACTCCAGCCTGAGGACAATGAGACTCTATACCAAAAAAAAAAAAAAAAAAGAAAAAGAAAAAGAAAAGAAGAAGAAAAAATAGAGCTTTTTCACTTTTGCTCCAGAAAGCAACTATTTAAAGATACATACATAATAGGCTGGCATGGTGGCTCACAGCTGTAGTCCCAGCACTTTGGGAGGCTGAGGCCGATTGATCACTTGAGGTCACGAGTTCAAGACCAGCCTGGCCAACATGGTGAAACCCTGTCTCTACTAAAAATACAAAACTTAGCTGAGCATGGTGGCGGGTGCCTGTAACCCCAGCTACTCAGGAGGCTGAGGCAGGAGAATCGCTTGAATCCAGGAGGTGGAGGTTGCAGTGACCCAAGATCTTGCGACTGCACTCCACCCTGGGCAACAGAGTGAGACTCTGTCTCGAAAAAAAAAAAAGAAAAAAGGCTGGGCGTGGTGGTTCACGCCTGTAATCCAAGCACTTTGGAGGCCAAGGCGGGCAGATCACCTGAGGTCGGGAGTTCAAGACCAGCCTGACCAACATGGTGAAACCCCGTCTAAAAAAAAAAAAAAAAAAATTAATTAATAAAAGAAAAAAAAGAGAAAGATATGTAATATATGCTCTGGGACCACACGGAGGCCCTCTCCAGAGCTGAATGGAGAAAATATCAAACCATAAATGCAGTGAGAGAAGAGTATGGAGGAGAGAGCTGTTAGCCCTGGAGCTGGGGGTGGGAGTGGCAGACTAGGAGTGGCTGGTGGATGGAAGGGAAAGTACTGGATGCAGGATTTACTCATTCATGTTGTTCCTGCGAAAATATTTGTGGACACAGGTATTGTGCTTGGCGGGATGGTCCTTGCCCTCCTGGAGTTTATAGCCATGTTGTGGGACTACGGCTAGCATAGGTTGAGAGGTCTCCCTGAAGAAGACCAAATATTCAGGCAGGTGAAGTGGGAGACATGGGAGAACAGCCACCGAGGCCAGGGGAACTGCACAATCAGAAGATCTGAAGCACAGAAGAGCTGCCTGTGATCAAGGCACAGGGAGAAGGCCCAAGTGTGGCTACCGCCCAGTTGGCAAAAGTGGTTCAAGATCAGGCTGTAGCCAGATCCCACAAGGCCTTGTTGCCACGCTAAGGATTTGAATGTCCTCGAGAAAATGAAGAGAAGTCGTTGAATAGCACAGGTCTAATAAGATGGGTGCATTTGAAGATTCCTCTAATTGCTGTGTGGGCAATGGATGGGGGGTGTAAGGAGAGCCTAAAGGAGAGACTGCTTGAAGGGTTTTTGCAGAGTCAAGGTGACAGCTGATGGCAGGTTAAACTGGGAAAGAGGAGTAGAGATGGTAGGAGGTGGAGAGATTAAGGATACCATTTAGAATTGGAAACAACGCGGACTGGAAATGAAGAACAAAAGACAGGTGTCAATGGTATACTTTAAGTGTCTGGTGTAAGCAACTGGGTAGATAGTGGTGCCAGTTACTGAAGGTGGGGGCATTGGAGGAGAGACCCACTTGGGGACCTATTAAGTATGAAAAAATGTGAGCAGGCCAGGCGTGGTGGCTCATGCCTGTAATCCCAGCACTTTGGGAGGTCGAGGCAGGTGGATGACTTGAGGTCAGGAGTTTGAGACCAGACTGGCCAATATGGCGAAAGCCTATCTCTACTAAAAATACAAAAATTAGCCAGGCATGGTGACGTGTGCCTGTAGTCCCAGCTACTCGAGAGGTTGAGGCAGGAGAATCGCTTGAACCCCAGAGGCGGAGGTTGCAGTGAGCCAAGATGGCGCCACTGCACTCAGCCCGGGTGACAGAGCGAGACTCCGTCTCAAAAAACAAAAACGAAACAACCAAATGAGTAAAGAGTAATGTGGATATTATAAACATTAAACAACAAAAAAAAAGAGAGTATTTCGTATTCTTCTTGCATAGGGAAGGGGAAGAAATACAGCAGAGTGGAGGAGGATGGAACAGAAAAGGTGTAAAAAGAAAGGCTGTGCGAAGAGTCGCGTAGGAGAGCTTCGGAGCTGGGGTTAGTGTCACACTGCGTAACTGGTGGTTTAAACTGCTGAAAATGAGACCACACTTAAAAGATACAGGTCCCTTTAAAAATAAGGCGGACGTTAAAATCAATTTGCATTTTACCTAAAATGGGCTGCTTCTCCCTGTACTCTCTCCAAATAGAGCCAAACTTTCTGTAGAAGCATTTTAATCATGGGCCCCCTTACGCCGAAAAATGCACTCACTACCAGTACACACGACCTTCTCAGTTTAATGGACGCATGGAGGCCCATCCCTGGGCTCTGTGGGCTCGGTTCATCCCAGGTTAGGCCTCAAACTCAGAGGTAGCAATGTTCCCAACTCAACAACGCAGGAAGACCACGCCTCTAAACGTTCTGCAACCTCGTCCACTTCAGAATTTTCCGGGGTTCTGGGTAAACTAGTCTCACCAAGGATTCTGCCCCCGTCTAGTTTCTCCTGTTTTTAAACACAGGCCGGTGTGTGGGAGAGGCCATTATTTTTACGTGATCAGTGTGCTCCTGGAGCAGATAGGGACACGCAGCGTGGCTTTACCGCAGCGCCAGCTCCATCCTTACCCGGCTCCTCCTCCAGGACACCGCCTCCTCCCCGCGCCCGCCCCGCCTTCCCTGCCCACCCCCGGCCCGCTCCTCCCCTTCGCTCTCAGCGCGGACTCCGCCACTCTCCGCGCCCTGTTCCATCCGCCCACCTCATGGCCCAGCCCCTATGACTCTTGTCAAACCTCCTTCCAGAAGAGCCCAATGAGCGCTCACACGCGCCGCACTGGCCCCGCCCCGCAACGTGCAGCCCCACCCACAGACTGAGTTAACCAATGCGCAGCTCCGGGCCCCGCCCCGCCCGCAGGCCCCGCCCCGGCGCCCGGCCCCCCAGCGCCCCCCTCCCTCCCGGGCGTTGCCGCCGCCGCGCCTCAGCAGCCCGCGCGGAGCCAGATGCCGCCCCCTCCGCCGGTCCCTCCCCCGGCGGCCTGGCGCCTCCCTCCTTCCCTCCCCACCGCGGTGACTCTCGGAGCGGGAGGCGGAGGCTGAGGCGGCCGCTCCCGCTGCTGCTGCTGCTGCTGCTGCCGCCGCCGCCGCCGCCGCCGCCGCCGCCGCCGCGGCTGCTCGGGCTGAGCACGCCCCAGAATAGGCCGCCGCTCGCTGCTCCCCAGACCCGCTGCCCCCGCCGGCCCGGCCGGGTCGGGCGGCCCAGGTAAGCGCCGAGGCCGGGCCGCGTCTGCAGCGCCCGGGCGCGCGCCGCGCCGGGGCTCGGGGGAGCGGCCAGCCCTTTGTCTACCGGGGAGGGGCCGCGGAGGGCGCCCCCAATCCTGCTCGGACCCCAGCCCGCCCCGGTAGCGCGGCGCCCTGGTCTGGGCCTGGCCGCCTCCCGCCGCAGGGCACCTCCTGCCTCCCTCACCTTCGCCCCGAGGTCGCTTCCACAGGTGTCCGCGCCGCCCACCCTGTTGCTCACCTCGCCGCGGCGGGTGGCTGTCATCGCCGGTCCGCCCTCCCCGCCCCCGGGCCCCTGTTTCTTCCCTCACCTGCGCCCACTCCCAGACTCTCACTCTCCGTGTTTCCCCGAACTAAACGCTGGGCCGCCCTTCCTCCTTCTCTAGTTCGATTGAACTGTGGTCTCCCAATTCCACCTCTCCCCGGTGAGCCTTCCTGGAAGGTACCCGGTGGGGCACTTGTCTCACCTGGATGGCGGGCGCGTATGCACGAACCTGCAAAATTAACCACCTGGAGCCCCAAACTGCACCTCTCACCTCCTTTTCATCACCCCACCCCAACCACCTTCCTTTTTTGGAATCTGGTAACCGAAACACCCAGGTCTGGACACCCAGCCTCTGCTAGGCCCTCCATCCCTCCCTCTGCCTTGTGAGCTGAACTTGTCTGAGCAGCGCCTGTCGTCAGGATAGCCCCTGGGAAGGCGGAGGGGGCCGTGTTGGCAGCAAATCAAGAGTTTTATGAATAATGAGACGTGTGGCTTGCAGCACCTCCTATCTGAGGATCTCAGTATGCTCCAGCTGTTAATTATTTTGTCTCCTGTCACTCACAGAACTGAGAGAAACATGTTTGGCCAACTGCTGAGTAAATTGAGGCACAGGGTGTGTGCGTAAGGAACCTGGAGGCAAGTCAGGGTTTGCCTTGAGGTTTTGTTTTCAGGAGCCTTGGCTTTTAGCTCCCTGCTACAACCACTGGGCTCCAGTTCCTGGCGTGTGTCCCCAAGTGATAACTGATCTCTTGTGCCATTAAACTGTCCGGAGATACCAGCAGCTTCCTCAGATTTAAAGTAGGACTTTGGATCATAAATAAAGGTGCCGGCTGTTAAATGCCAATGTGTCATTCATGGTTTGCTGGTGGAGTTCATGGTCCTCCCTTGTAAATGCAAATCACCTCTATGGGATGGAGATTCATTCATTCAGTAGTGAGCATTTACTATGTGCCAGGCACCATTCCAAGTACTGGGGCTTTAGTGGTGAAGACAGGCACGGTTTGTGCCCTCCTTAGAGATGACATTTTAAAGAGGAGGGAAGTCACACAATAAGTGAGTAAACAAACAAGCAGACAAAATAATTTCGGTAGTGGTAAGTGCTGTGAAGTTATAGAGGAGACAGATTACATAATAAGAATCTGTGGATCAGGCCAGGCACAGTGGCTCATGCCTGTAATCCCAGCACTTTGGGAGGCCTGGCCAACATGTGGAAACCCCGTCTCTACTAAAAATGCAAAAATTAGCCAGGCGTGATGACACCTGTCTGTAGTCCCAGCTGCTTGGGAGACTGAGGCAGGAGAATTGCCTGAACCTGGGGCGCAGAGTTGCAGTGAACCGAGATCACACCACTACACTCCAGCCTGGATGACAGAGCAACACTCCGTCTTGGGGGGGAAAAAAAAGAACCTATGGATCAAAACAGTGATTTTGTAGGTCATAATAAAGAGTTTGGATTTTACTCCAAGAACAGTTAGAGGCCATTGAAGGGTTTTAAGCAGAGAGAGGATAAAGTCTGATTTGTTCTGAAAGATTGTTCTGGCTGCTGTGTAGCGACTGGACTGTAAGGAGCAAAGGTAGAGGCAGGGATACCAATTATGAGACAGACGGTTGCAGCTGCCTGGCGGGAGATGATGGTGGCTTGAGGGATCGGGGCAGTGGCCATGGAAATGGAGCGGTGGAGTCAGTCTGTTCCCTCTGGGAGAGCGGCACAGTAAAACTTTGGAGACTGAGATTTAGATGTCCCGTAACAGCATGCTCATAGAACAGGTCCCCTCCTCCTTGATTGGAGAGGGTTTGTGGCTTTAAAAACCAGTTAGAGATGGAGGAGGGCAGAGTATACTGGGCTTCATTCCCACATCCGGTTGTGTTATTTAAATGTGTTACTGCCTCTGTTGGAAGATGTTGCACCAAGAAATTAGTCCTGTTCTCATGATAGGTGGGAGAATGACTCAGTGACCACAAACTTGAGAATAAGGCCGGGTGCAGTGGCTCACAGGTGTAAGTAATCCCAGCATTTTGGGAGGCCAAGGCTGGCAGATCACCTGAGATCAGGAGTTGGAGACCAGCCAGGCCAACATGGTGAAAACCCATCTTGACTAAAAATACAAAAATTAGCCGGGCCTGATGGTGGGTGACTGTAATCCCAGCTACTTGGGAGGCTGAGGCGGGAGAATCACTTGAACCCGGGAGGTGGATATTGCAGTGAGCTGAGATTGTGCTGCTGTACTCCAGCCTGGGTGACAAAGGAAGACTCCATCTCAACAACAACAAAAACAACAACAAACAGAATAAAACTTCATCTCCATGCTGCTCCAAATCTGTGCTGTCAGAACATGTCAGAACGAGAGGGCCTTGGGAGTTACATAGGCCAGCCCCTTCTTTTATGGTTAAGCAGCTGTGGCGCCTAGAAGCTGGCTCTTTTGATGTCTTATAGTAGTTTATGCATTTTCTTTTGATGCCTGTGAGTTTCTACCCTGTTTCAGCTCCATGTGTACACGTGTGACTCTAAGCTTTCTGAGACCAGATCTCTACTGGGTTTGTCTTTGCATTGACCACGGTGTCTAGATCAGTGCCCTGCACAACATCTAAACTCTTCAAATACTGGTTAACTTGCCTGGTATCTCAGGGCACCAGAAGTCCTGCCCTGCCCCTGCCTTTTCATCAGACAGTGTGTCTTGTAGACTCCTCATCCAGAATGAACATAGTGTAAACCCAGCAGTCTCTTGTTCACAGTGCTCACAGGACAGGGCAGTCCTTCCTTGATGGGTCTGCTTTCTCTCCATCCCTGCCTACTGGGAACAGCTGCTGCAGGTGCTGACCAAGTAGTTATTTGACACTCAGCAAATATGAAGTGTAGCTCTTAATTAGACCATGGACTTTGTACCAAGACTATCAGGTTTGGATCTTGGTTCTGCCATCAGGAGCTGCATGATCTTCAGCAGGTAACTTAATCTCTCTGTGTCTCAGTTTCCCCATATGTGCAATAGTAATATTTTTCTCATGGAGTTGTTGGATTAAATTAAGTAATATCTAGTAGATACTCAGAAGAGCACCTGGCACTTAGTATATGATAAATTGAAGTATTAACTATTATTTTGCCTTTGCTTATCCGCTTTTTTTTTTTTTTTTTTTTTTTTGAGACGGAGTCTCACTTTGTTGCTCATGCTCAAGTTCACTGGCGTGATCTTGACTCACTGCAACCTCTGCCTCCCAGGATCAAGCAATTCTCCTGCCTCAGCTTCCTGAGTAACTGGGATTACAGGCGTGCACCACCATGCCTGGAAAATTTTTGTGTTTTTAGTAGAGACGGGGCTTCACAATGTTGGTCAGGCTGGTCTCAAACTCCTGACATCATGATCTGCCTGCCTCAGCCTCCAAAGTGTTGGGATTACAGGCATGAGCCACCATGCCCAGCCTGTTTATCTGATTCTTACCTCCCACCAGCATTTAAGCTCTTTGAGAGCAGAGATTTTTGTCTTTTTGTCTACTCTTAAAATCTGGTACCTAAATTTTGTAGTACTCTGAAAATACTTGAATGACTTATTAAGTGTCTGTGTGCTAGGCACTGTTGCAGGTGCTGTAGACATAGCCAAGAACAAGATCAAAATGCATGCTCTAATGAAGTTTATCTTCTAGTGGGAGAGACAGATAGTAAACAAATAAATGAGTCAACAAAAGAATGTAGGGTGAGATATGGGGGAAAATAAAACAGAAGATGGAAAGTGGCTGGGATGAGGGTTAGGGTCATAGCTTTAGCTAGCTCTGAGAAGGTGGCTTTTGGGAGACCTGCATGGTGATCCAGAGGGACAGCTTGTGGACAGAGAGGACTGCAAGAACAATCAGCGCAGAGGGGCTGGAGTGTGGTTAGTGATGAGTCGGCAGGGGCCAAATTTGTGGCACGGTAAGGAGTTTAGATTTTACTCTTGAATTCTGAACAGTGGGAGGTCACTGCATGGGAACTTTTCCTGGGGGTCTAGGAGAATATTTGAGTCCACACTAAAAGACAGAGCAGGATGTTAGAAAGAGCATTTGGAATAGGCTCTTTGTCCTGGGAAGCTTTTGGAGGCCAGCTAAAGTATTGAGTTTCTTCCCATCAAGTTCCTTATTTCTCTGGCCTGGTCCCCTGAAGGTGTGGGAAGCATCAGCTAGGTTGATAATGGTCCTGGTATGTGTGTCTGTGTGTCCTGCATTTTATTGAGCTTCCTTTTTTCTGAGTCCCTAAGTCATCAGCAAACATTTCTTTATTTTATTTTATGATTATTATTATTTTTTTTTTTTTGAGACAGAGTTTCGCTCTTGATACCCAGGCTGGAGTGCAATGGCGCGATCTCGGCTCACCGCAACCTCCACCTCCCGAGTTCAAGCAATTCTCCTGCCTCAGCCTCCTGAGTAGCTGGGATTACAGGCACGCGCCACCATGCCCAGCTAATTTTTGTATTTTTAGTAGAGACGGGGTTTCACCATGTTGACCAGGATGGTCTCGATCTCTTGACCTCGTGATCCACCCGTCTCAGCCTCCCAAAGTGCTGGGATTACAGGCTTGAGCCACTGCGCCCGGCCGATTTTATTTTATTTTTTTGAGACGGAGTTTCACTCTTGTTACCCACGCTGTAGTGCAATGGCGCGATCTCGGCTCACCACAACCTCCGCCTCCTGGGTTCAGGCAATTCTCCTGTCTCAGCCTCCTGAGTAGCTGGGATTACAGGCACGCACCACCA